ATGGAGTCCACCATCCCTTAAAGGAAAAAAATGGTGTGGGGTGCCCAGTGGATAAGTGTCCTTTATAGATTTTTATTGTTGCACCTTCACCATTTTTTACAAACAGAACGAAGCTGACTGAGATATGTCATTTATCAGCAATAGTTTTTTTTTTTTAAATGTCACTTTTGTGGGAGTGCATTATAGAGATGAACAATTTCACTGGTAGGTTAAAGGCATCCTTTAAGCATGTTATTTAAAGGAATTTGTTTATTTTTAATGTTGTTCCTTAACCATTTATCCTCCATAAGGTTTTACCCCCTTCGTGAGCAGGCCATGTTTTGCTACTCAGCACTGAGCCACTTTAACTGGTAATTGCTCAGTCATGCAACACTCTGGCCTACCCAAACAAAATGCATATACTTTTTTTCACACAATCAGAGCTTTCTTTTGTTGGTATTTAAGTTTTATTTTTTCTACATAAATGAAAAAATACAGAAAATATTAAAATAAACAGTTTTCTTGGTTTCTGTTATAAAATTTTGCAAACAAATAATTGTTCTTTAAATTTGGGCCAAAATGTATTCTGCTACATTTCTTTTGGTAAATATAATCCAAATCAGTGAATATAATTTATTCTGTGTGAAAGTTATAGAGCTTACAAACTATGTATATAGTGTATATACAGTATATGTATATATATATAATTTTTTTTTGGGAGGGGGGGAATTGATCAATCTTCATTTACTCATGGCCATCTCTATTCTTGAAGCCCTAAAATGCCAGGACAGTCCAATCCCCCCCAAATGACCCCTTTTTGGAAAGTACACAGTCCAGTATTTTTAAGTGACATGGCAAGTTTTTTGAAGTTGTCATTTTTTTGTCCCTGTTTTCTCGAAATGATGAAATTAAGTAAAATTCTTTTTTTTGCATACTGTCACAAGTGTAGCTCGATGACACTATAGTGACACTGTACTACTCTGAAAGGGGGATGATCAAGGATTTTTTTTTTTATGTTATTATTGCTTAAAACAGTGATGATGACTGTTATAAGCAATAATTTTAACTGTCATAAATGCATTTAATTCATGACAGCTTACTTACTATTGTAATGATGTGATTAGCTAAAGCTAATCACATAGTATAGGGTGACAGTTACCATGTAATAGCTGTGGGCCAATCACAGCATCAAAATAGTAAGCAAGCTATCATGAATGGAGGTCATTCATCACAGTTTGGGTTATATTATAGTGGTTATAGCAATCACATATACCCTGGCCACTCACAGTAGCTGGGTACTGAGAACCATGATCCGCTGTGCCTACAGGACACATTGGTCATGGGATTGTGCCTCTGCACTCCCCAGAGGGAGCACCAGTGTGCATGTGCTAAGCGACGTATGGGTATGTCACCTAGTCTGTAGCTGCTGCCTGCCCACAGTAAATGTACTGTGAGCGGGCAGAAAGTGGTTAAGCCACAATGAAAGACATTGAAAGTCCTGCTTCTCATTATACAGTATTTCGTAAACATTGTTTTTGTATCATTACATTTCTTTGATGGCAGTACCCAGCTACCCATTCTCTTTTTTAACAAAAATTTGTCATGAAAAAGGTCATTAAAAAAATTGCAAGAATCTGCTCCCATAGACTTCATTGAAGTTAGGGTGCTATGTTCAAGGTTTACAAATTTCATGGTTTGCTCATCCATAATCACAAACAGGTGTTCTCAGATCACCAGATTACAGACAAAAGGAAGTGTTTCACTTCATGTGAAAGAAGTACAAATAACATTGACAAATCTGTCTATATAATTACTTATACCAGCACTGAAAACAAATAGATGGTTCAACCCCTTCCTACTATATGAAAAACATGATAGAGAAACCTTTATACTGGAGATAGGCTTAAAAGGAAACTTACATGAAAGAAAAACTAAGGTTGCTACTGCCTTCCCTTCGATAATTCTATTAGCCTGGCTGTCATACTGATCCAATGGCTTTAATATTTCTATGTCACTGACTCCAAACAAGTTTGCAGAGAAGGAGTTATGACTTCACTCTGGTTTTATTGATCTGCTTATTTCTTCCTGGTCTTTACCTCCTAAAGTATGAAAAATAGACACAGCTCAAAATAAGAGAACTTTAAAAGTTTTTTTTCAGTTGTGGTTTTTTTTTTTTTTTTTTAGTTTACAAGATAGAATAGCGGAACTTGGTGATAGTAAAAGTCAATCTAAGTATACCAAGGCGATATCAGAAACTACCTTTGGAGCAGCCTTTAGTATCTTTTCTAGGATCCTCTAGGAAATGCACACTGTCAAATATAACACTAAAACTGAGATTCATCTCTGGACATCCAAATTAATAAAAGTAAAGGTCTGAATCTACCATCATCCAAAGTTCAAGATCAACGCTTGAAGCAGCCAGTCATCCAGTATTTTCAAAAGTAGATTATCATGGGCAGCCTCTATATTTTTCACACTCCAGGTTTACTTCAATTTAGATTTTCCCATTAAATATATTTAACATATCTTCTGTTATTAAATAATTATTGACTGAATTATACAATTAAAGTGGAACATCCAGAAAATGAAAACTTTAGGTATTATTTATTTTGGATATTTATGTTTTTCAATGATCATAGTGAGAATATTCACTCTCATGTATGCATCGTATTTGCAGCACTTACTGATGAGGTGCTGTCTTAGATTGTTATTTGCCAATATTATTTTATTATTCTGTGCTTTGGTTTTAGTAGATGTAATCTTTACTTGAATACTACATGTGAACACACAGATCATACTACTTTTGGCATTTTAGTAGAAATTGATATTATGTTGAATCTCTTCATTATGTACAAACAAAGCAATTAAAATGAATTTGTGCTTGCAACATCCATTTCTAAATTACACAAAATATTTTGATTTGATTTACAATACATGAAATAAGCCTGGGTTGATTAAGGGCTTGCAATTAAGGATCCTAATCGTTCCCTGCAAGTGATTATAAAGTTCAATGCTGAGCTGTGTATGACATTGCCTTAATTAAATTGCCTGCTGACATCTAGTGGCGACAAAACAAAAATGCAAGCATTTGTTGATTTCTATACTGTAGCATTGTGTTGCTGTACTGTGCACTTCCCAGATATTAGTATTATTTGCTTATTTTTTGCTTATTAAACTTTTCTTTGTTTTTTTTTATGAAAAGCTTTTAAATAATGCTGTATTACATGTTCCAAATACAAGATGTGCTTATTGATAGAATAATGAGTAATAATAACAATAACATTAGATTCAGTTATTGAACAATTTTAGTGTCATGTCTGTCTGTTAAGGGGATATAATTTTTTTTTTTAATATCTGACTGTTGTAGGACCTTCCATGAAGTAACAGGGAGGGACAGAAATGTACCCCTTTCCTTTCCACAGGAAGTGTCTTCCTTCCAATGCATACACATCACCTAGGCTGGTGGTTAGATTTAGGCATATAAAATTTATATATTTTGTGATGAAGCGCTCAACTTATATAGTGTATACAAACCCTTTTTACATCAATAATATTGTGAAAAATTCAAAATAAGTGCTTAATTCCCTCTTAAATTCTATAAAACTATACAAAATCATTTATAAATAACTGGTGCAAATTCACACTCCTATTTATGCCCCCTAGTGGTCAAAATCCATGAAAATTCTAATACAAATGATAACACTTTATCTGTACAAAGTGATAAGTGTATCCAATTACATAAACTAAATCAAATAAACAGTCCAAAGACTTGTGATGCCACACTGTGCAAATAATAAGTGTTCAATACACAGTGATTATAACTTCACTCCATGCTGCAAATGTGCTCTTCGTGACACTCTGATGTGACTCCCCTGGATTTAGCCAAAATGCCTCCTCACCTTCCACATTCGACCCTTGCGGGTCACAAAGCCTTAAATATATAATATCTCAGCCAGGTTTTCATGCTCCACTGACTCCACCGACTCAATTAAGATCCCCCTCCAAGCAATGAATTCCTCTCAGATCACTTTCCTCACAATATGAACTCATAAACACAGGACGTATATGTAGAAACAAAGACAAACCTCCATAGTGCAACACTGTTTTAATGCACTTAAAATATCAAAAACAAATGAACACTCACATGTCATCCAACAGAAAGAAGCAGTTTCCCATGTGCTATGGGTGTACTAAGGTGTACCAAAATGGCGTCCAAACCCGGAACCGGAAGTACGTCACCCCTTAACCGGAAATGCGTCGGTGCGTTGTGCCACGATCACGTGGCTTCTTCAGGACCCTGTTTCTACATATACGTCCTGTGTAGAAAGGGTTGGTATACACACTATATAAGTTGAGCGCTTCATCACAAAATATATACATTTTATGTGCACATATCCTAAGGTATAGGGAAAAGGTGATAGCAGCTGACTTTAAGTTAAAGGTTCTGTGGAGCGCAGGGGGATTCTTCCTATATAGATTTAGGCATATGTTACAAGAGTATCGGTGATCTGAGTGTAAGGTACGACAAAGATGCAGCCGGTATCTGTATTAAAGAGGAAAGCACAAAACATGTGTTGCTCACTTGCATTCCAAGTTCAATGTGTGTCAAAGAGAAATGGATCACATTAGACAGATGTTTACTTTGTTTATAGTGGCAGTGCAGGCCACTTGTAAAAGTGCACCAATTTGTGTTAGAGAGTTGAAACCAAAGAACAGAGGTATATCGCTCAGGCAAACAATCCAGATCGATCCACAAAAGGTGCAGGTTCTGGCTCACCACCACACACAATGCAACAGGAAGAAGGGTCAGCAGCACAGCAGAGGATTGATAAATATAGTGTATATTTATTGATCCATAGGACACACAAAACACCAGGACATGAATACAGGACCTGTTAACATGTTTCACATGATCTCGTGTTTAATCACCTCCCGCCCGCCATATAGTAAAATGATGGGCACAAGGTGGTTCTCTTGTTCTGGGAGGACGTCATATGACGTCCTCCCATTCTCAGTGCACAGTGCAGTGATCTGAGAGGGACACAGTGGATCACCGATCCACGGAAAGAGCTGAAGATGTCGGCTCGGTCATGTGATCAGCTGTGTCCAATCACAGCTGATCACATGTAAACAGGGAAATGCCGGTTATCTGTATTTCTCTCCTCACGAGCTGTCACACTGACAGCTCGAGAGGAGAGGAGAGCCGGTAATCGGCATTCCGCTGAGAGGACATGTACACTGATCATCAGGGCACTGATGGTCAGTGTGCCCTGATGATCAGTGTAGCCCCAGCAGTGCCACCTGTCAGTGTCCATCAGTGCCATGTGCCAGTGCCCATCAGTGCCACATCAATGCCACATATCAGTGCCTACCAGTGCACATCAATGCCACATATCAGTGCCCATCTGAGCTGCCTGTTAGTGTCACCCATCAGTGCCAGTCACTGCCGCCTATCAGTGCGCATCAGTGCCGCCTATCAGTGCCCGTCAGTGCCGCATATCAATGCCAGTCAGTGCCGCCTATCAGTGCCGCATGTCAGTGCCATATATCAGTGCTGCCTTGCAGTGCCCATCAGTGATGCCTGTCAATGCCCATCAGTGCCCATCAGTGCCACCTATCAGTGTCCATCAGTGCGGCCTCTCAGTGCCCATCACTGCAGCCTCATTAGCGCACATCAGTGAAGGAGAAAAATCACTTATTTACAAAATTTTATAACAAGAACTAAGAAAAAATGTTTTTTTTTTTCAAACTTTTCAGTGGTTTTTGGGTTGTTTCAGAAAAAATAAAAACCTAGAGTTGATTAAATACCACCAAAATAAAGCTCCATCTGTCAAAAAAAAATGATAAAAATTTCATATGGGTACAGTGTTGCATGACCGCGCAATTGTCATTCAAAGTGTGACAGCGCTGAAAGCTGAAAATTGGCCTGGTCAGGAAGGGGGTATAAGTGCCCTATAGGCTTGTGGTTAATCATAGCCTGTTAGAGAGTTACCATTACTCACATATAGGATACTAAACAAAGGCAGTGAATGTCAGAACAAACACAAAACTGAACAAAGATAGCCTAAACAAAATGTGACTAACCTGCATTAAAGAGGAGAGCACAAACACATGTTGCTCATTTGTATTCAGAGTTTTAAGTGTGCTTGTTGGTTTCAGTCTCCTAAAGTCACACTACAAATCATTAGAGCTCCCTCTAACTGAAACCTAGTAATAGCATTACTGGGAGGTTTATTAATTAAAGTGTTACTAAACCCAGGGCCCTGCATCTGCTATATCTGGTCTCCCACAGTACACAGAACATGGAAGTGCAATTATTTTAGTAAATATAAACTGTTAAATACCTTTTCTCATCAGCTGTTAGAGCAGTCTTGTGACTTCTATCTGTGTCTAGCCCAGCATTAGCTAAAGCTTGTAGGAGGAATTTTCTTTCTGCTCTACGAAGATGAAAACCTCCTGACCTGTATCTGACCAGTGCTGATTGGCTCTGTGCTGATCACATGCATTCTCCCAAGAAAAAAAAACTTCTCTAGCAATACACACCAAACTTAGCATGTGCCAATGCCTACGGTTCAGTCTGTCTTATCAGGAGATAAGAGGTGGTCTTTTAAAAATAAGATGTGCAATAATTGAAAGGTTGGATAAAAGGTTTAGTAAGACTTACTAAACTACTAAACTTACTAAACTTACTAAACTACAGACTTACAGTAGTATTTCATATGTTACAGTGGTCTATACATCAAACCAAAAGAGAGGGACAGCTGAGGAGGAAAGAGGGACAGAGGGATTTCATCCCAAAACAGGGACCATCCTTCAAATCAGGGAGAGCTGAGCTATGGATGCAGGATTTGTGTAGACAGGTGTTATATTACTACATTTGATTTACTTTAATAGCAAGTTTGCAGTTTGTTATTTACTCCTATTATATATTGTGGGTGGCTTTTCTGAGACTCCATTTGACCTGTTTTACATTTATTGAACACAGCAGGTCCTCTTATGATCCATTCATGTTGCAAGCCAATTACAGCCCATGCATCCACACACATTGAGTAGCGCTACATTTGAATTTTCATAATTTCTGGTTTTGAATTTATCAGAGCAGTGGGCAGATTATTAAAATACATGAAAACTTTTTTGTATCAGTCACAGTGAGCTCATGGTCTTTTTATGTTTATATATACAGTATATATATATATATATATATACAGGCCCGGACTGGGACCAAAAATAGGCCTGGCCATTTTAATCTGAGCAGTCCATTTTTTTTCAAAACCAAATTACAAATAATGACAGCTACCGGTTCCTCAATATCTCAACTTTTTGTTATATTTAGCCTTCTTCAGTCACTATAATTTATCAGTTATTTAGAATTATGTAAATATATGATAATAAATTAAAGAATGAATGCAATATATAAAGTGTTACATTCTTACTGCTCACTGGTTGCTAGAGGTTACTGCACATCATTACCAGTCACTGATTGGTTACCTGAGGTCCCTGCATATTATTACTGTTCACTGACTGGCTGCTAGAGATTACTGCACATCAATGGCAATTGTGGGGGGGATGGAATGAGTGGCAATGCTGGTGGCAGGATGGGATCAGTGAGAGTGCTGGGGGGGATGGAATGAGTGGCAGTGCTTGAGGGGTGAGATCACTGGCAGTGCTTGGAGGAATGGAATGAGTGACAGTGCTGAACGGGGGGGGTGGGATCAGTGGCAGTGCTGGAGGGTGGTATCAATGGCAGTGCTGGTGTGAGGATCAGTGACAGTGCTGGGAGGGATCATTGGCAGTGCTGGGGGTAATTGAATCAGTGGCTGTGCTGGTGGTGGGGAGGATGGGATCAGTGGATGCAGGGGAGATCACTAGCAGTGCTGGAGGGGAATGGAATGAGTGGTAGTGCTGGTGGGGGTGGATGGATCAGTGTCAGCGCTGCGGAGAGGGTGGGATCAATGTAGTAGTGCTGGTGGGGGGATCAGGGACAGTGCAGGGGCAGGATCACTGGCAGTGCTATGGGGGAATGGAATGAGTGGTAGTGCTGGTGGGGGAGTGGATTGATCAGTGGCAGTGCTGGGGGGAATGGAATGAGTGGTAGTGCTGGTGGGGGGTGGATGGATCAGTGGTAGTGCTGGGGGGAGGGTGGGACCAGTAGCAGTGCTGGGAGGAGGATCAGTGGCAGTGGGGGGGGGGGGAGTGGGGTCAGTGGCAGAGCTGGTTGAGGGATGGGATGTGTGGCAGACTAGTGCTGGTGGGGAGGATGGGAATGCATTTGCTGTATGCACACCTTTTCTCCATAGACCCTTACAAGTAGGTGGGTTCTTCATTAGGCTCTATGAAGAAAAGGTCAGGTATGCACTTTACATTGCCTGCTGGCTCAGCGGAAGACAGGAGTTCTGTGCTGGGAACTTAGACCAAGGCTCTTGATCATCGGCTGATATGAGGACTGCACTGGGGACTATTAATGGCAAGTTAGCAACTAATATATATCAGGGAACTCACTCCCTCTCTGGCTCTGTGGTTTCTGCAGCAATAGTGACACCTAACACACCTCCTCCACACCCAGCTCCTCCCCATTCACGGTCACGGCCCAGGTCAGCTGACCTCTAGTTTCTGCCCCGACGGCCATTCTGAGATGAGAGGCCGGCTGTGGAGAGGCTGGGTGAGCAGCACGGGCTCAAGGAGCCGCTCAGCTGCCGCAGCTGCTTTGGGCCCCACTAGGACATGTGGCCTGATGGCCCAGGCCCACCGGGCAAATGCCTAGGGAGCCCTATGGCCAGTTTAGGCCAGTATATATATATATATATATATATATATATATATGTTCCCATTAGTGGAAAGAGTTTTATGGTACTGTCTATAATTCATGCGTGTAACATTTTGTTCCTGCTCTCTGCACAACATTTGGTTGAGTACTTTGGAACAGTGCATTGTTTTTAACATATGTTATTTCCCTGAGTTTTATGAATAAATACTTTTTTAATTAGATTTATAAGAGATAAAATAACAACATAACACATATTATTACATATAACAGTTAAAGGACCAAAAGGACATTTATATGTCACAAACCCTAGATAGGTACAGTCCATTGATTTGTCCATGCGAAAGATCTGTTGCTGTCTTTTTTCAGGAGTCATGAATATTTTGGATTTTCATCATTACCTCAAGATTTAAAGCGGTTGTAAAGTGTCATGATTTAGCCTGCTGTATTTCTACCTGTCTCATTCTTACCTCTTTGCTGCAGTGCTTCTCCTAGACTTATGATTTCATTCATTAGCTTAAGACCCATCTCCCTGCTACCATTTACCTCTAAACTCTTAGAACGCTTAGTCTACAATCGTCTGAGCTCCTACCTCACTGACAACAAGCTTCTTGACCCTTTACAGTCTGGCTTTCGCTCACTACACTCCACTGAAACTGCCCTACTAAAACTCACTAATGATTTACTAACTGCTAAAACCAATGGCCAGTACTCCATAGTTTACTACTTGACTTCTCTGTGGATTTTGATACTGTTGACCATCCCCTCCTCCTTAAAAAACTCCACTCATTTGGCCTCCGAGACTCTGCTCTCTCCTGGTTCTCCTCCTACCTATCGCAGCCCTCCTTCAGTGTTACCTATAATTCTATCTCTTCCTCTCCACTTCCTTTTTCTGTAGGGGTCCCTTAAGGTTCTGCCCTTGGACCCCTTCTTTTCTCCATCTACACCTCCTCCCTTGGTCACTCGATAAATTCCCACGGCTTCAAGTACCATCTATATGCTGATCATGCACAAATGTATCTTTCTACTCCTCACCTCACCCCTTCAGTCTCCTCTCGCATTACTAACCTACTAAGTGGCATATCAGTATGGATGTCACTCCGTTTCTTCAAAATAAATCTCTCTAAAATGAAGCTCATACTATTCCCTCCAGCCCGTGCCCCCTCCCCTGACTTCTCCATCAAGATCAATAATACAACCATCAGTCCCTCCCCTCATGCAAGAGTACTAAGTGTAATCCTGGACTCCCATCTGTCCTTTCAGCCCCAAATCCAATCACTGTCCAAATCTTGTAGACTTCACTTCCACAATATCTCCAAGATAGGCCAATTTTTAACCACTAAAACCACTAAGCAACTTATTCACTCCCTTGTTATCTCTCACATTGACTATTGTAACTCCCTCCTCATTGGCCTACCTAATCGCAGGCTATCCCTTCTTCAGTCTGTCGTGAA